ATAAATCCCGAATTCAGCTTAGGGCTCTTTTGGGTCGTGCCATCAAAAATTCCAGTATTATGATACTGGCATATCATAGTCCAAATAGCAAAGTTTATCTAATTTCACAGCCCACAGGACACGGTATGATAGGTTCCAGGTGAGATCCTGTTTACTAACAGAAAGGCCTAACCCCTAAAACCACCCCCTACCACAGGCAGGCTCGTGGCCAGTATCCAGCCAACCTAGGTTTCCTAGGTTGCTATCCAGCGCACCTCTTGCGGATTGGCCCCTAGGTTGTGAAAAGGGTATGAGACCCGGCTTGAGATTGTCGAATACTGCGGCCAGGAGGAACTCGCACAGAATGGATATTATGGCCGGTAGGAAGGTTTTATAGGATCCCGTGTCTCCGCCCAAACATTTGGCGCCGATACTGGTCTTGCGTTGTATTCCTCTGCAAATTTGTTTATTAGCCCGTCGACCCCCCCGCATTTTAAAACTGTTAGAATTTAGCTGCTTCCGCCCATTAGCGCGAGCCCACACATTGGGGTTCCCCTTGCTGCACCCTATCCCTCTTCCCTTAGCCCAAAGAAGAAAGAAATAGACCTCAAATCTACTGCTCTCACTCTGCTATGATACACCCTCATCTCAATCGGTATGATAAATGTATTCTTGTCCACCAATAAGCACTGACCGAGTGATATCCATGATCCGATCCCCAAGCTGAATCATCCCAGATCAGGTGATCTAACCGTTGCGAATGCAATATCTAGGTTTCAATAAATAAATTATATCGAAACCTAGGGATAAAGGTACTCGTATGCTTCGTGGACATGATGGACATTTATAACTTCCGGCAAGCCCATAAGCAGTGCTCCAATTCACCGACATCGGTATAACTTCTTCATTGAGACAAGCCTCTTCCCGAGTAGCAAGACGCGCGCCTGCAACCGCCTCCTGGCAGACTTACTGATACGCCCGGGCTACCAGAGCCTGAGTGTTGTGGTGGTTGGGACCAGAGATCAGCTCATGTACTCGTACTCGAGTACTGTACTCGGGTACGGCACTCATCCAAGCACACTAGGCCACAACCCCTAGGGTCCAGCGGCGTTCATAATTTCGCTTTCGAGGATTATGAGGAGAGCTAAGCTACAAAATTTTCGGAGTGAGCAATGATGAGCGACTATCGCATGTAGTCAGAGAAAAAAAAGCTCCCCCATACTCGGGTAGATTCAGCAGGATGAAGAGAGGAATACCCTCTTCAGGATACACCACCCCCAAAGTACTCTCCCTCCATCTTCCACGCAATTCGTCCCATTCGAATATTCTCCTCCTTCAACATTCTCCCCCATCCGTACCACACCATACCGCAGCACAGACCACACTCCATAGACGATCACTCGGTGCCATATCAAGCCACGCTCTCACGCAAAGTCCAGCCCCTTTCCAAATCTAAACTTCGGGAAACTCCACCCTTACAAGCCATAGAATACCCGAGTAGCGACGGTGTAATTCCCCGCGGACTTTAAGTCGGCACGATATGACACTCCCCTATAAAACCTGCTCCGTGAATCGGACTAAATTCACCTGTCAGCACGCGCTCACGCGATAATTTCTCGGCAGGTTCCGAATATCACCTTCTCGAGTACTCGCCTGTAGTCTATCGTGCTCTTCCACTCTCTTACACCCGCTCTATCTTGGGCTTTGGGTATGTACGAGTACTACACCATCACAATAGTGCGTGAACGGCACGCCTACGATCCTCCTCTAGTCATGAGTTGATAAAGGTGCTGTGATCCCACGAGGCCCCGAAAAATTCCCGCCGTCAGATCCCCACACACTCAAAATGACACAACACCTCGGGCAGACCCGACAGTGAGAGTGAGAGAGATAAAACGATGTACTGTACTTCTACAGCTCGGTCCAGTGGAGTAGGGTACTTAACTCCCGAATCGTACGGTCTTTCTCTAACACAATAACTTGCATGCATCATTCATACTTGAGTATAAGGTGCATACGGTACACATATCATACTATACGTAGAGTGCATGGGAGGCGAGTGAAAGGAAAATGTCATGAAACCCTACCGTACCGTACGCTTTGGTCCACCGCGTGCGAGTTCCAAGGCTGTAAGTTACTGTACGGTACTACGAGTACTCGTACATGTAGTACAGTACGTAGCATGGCGCCATTTCAACTGCCCTGTATGGAATATTATACTTGTGTGAGGCATGAAAAGGGATGGAAACAAAATAAAAATCGTGTCCCGTCCCATGATCCACAGTTTTGCGCTTTTGCTCTCCGCAGGAACCACTATGTGCAGATTTTCCTTGCCTTGCCCTGTGGGAGGAGATGCTTCGAGTGAGATCTTGTGGTTCGGGAATTGCCGTTGGGCTCATGCTTTAGTGGTCTGAGGAAGGGATGGAGGTGTACGAGTACGAGAAACGTTAAGGTGGTCGAGAACATGAGATCACCACCACAAACCATCACACTATACTCGTACCAGGAGACTATCATATAAAGCACTCCCGCCCAAAGCCCATCCATCCATTCATACGATACTCCCACAGCGCCAAAGCTAACTTAACGACGGATCATACCGGTAATTTACTCGTACCAGTACGAGGGTGTAAGGGTAAGTGATCGGAAGGGATATGATTGGTGGATCTTGTCAATGTAGGAAATCAAGATTCAGCAATCCAAACCCAGCTTTTGGAGTGAGGTCATCCAAGATGGAGTCTGTCGCCACAGCCATATAACCACTAAACTACCATCAAAAACAGCAACTTCATGATTTTACATCCAAAGTCAAGGTCAACTGATCTTGTTTGCTCTGAATCCTATCTGATCCATGTCCAAAGTCTGTCCACAAAGTCTCCTGTATTGTATTTATTTCTTATAATGAAGTTGAAGGAAACCTGGAGCAAGGATTTTCCAAATAATACAATGCGTCGAGAAATGACCCGTGATGAATGGCTTTGCATCATCACTCTTCGCGATGAGGCAAAAATAAAGTGGAAAGATATTGTGGCCCTGGTAAATAGAAAGCTAAGCACTGTCTATGATATCTATGCTCGTTTAAAAGCAAATAATACGCCAATCAACAAGCATCAAACCAGCCGGCCACCAATCTTTGATGATGCCGAGAAAGAGCAACTGCAAATTTTTATAATAACCGATAAGAGAACTCAACGCTTAGAATGGGAGAATATGTTGCAGGAGTTAGCATATGCCTGCTCTGTTCATACTCTTGGTAGTGTATGTGGATCAATGGGATACTATAAGTGGCATCCACAAAAAAAGTATGTCATTCTATTCCTTTTCTGTTCCTCTCTTCAGTAGCCTATAATAAGCAGTGATCAGTAACAAGTACTTTTTTGTTCCTTTAGATTTGGTGTTTGTGAAAGGAATAAACCTCTGCGGGTACAATGGTGTCAGGAACAACTTCATTGGATGTATGATAATTGGCTACAAACTTTATGAACAGATGAGTCCACATTCACAACGGCGGACTTTGGCTATCGACCATGGGTATCGTGTAAACCTGAAGAAGAGTTACATCCAGATTTTATCTATGAAACTTGGGAGTCAGTGAAGGAAGATATGGTGGTTTGGTGTGAGTTTTGTGGTGAAATGAAGTCCGAGTTATATGTTATCGCTCCAAAAACAAAAGTTGACTCTTGGTACTATGTAACTCATATTCTCAATCCTATTCTTATTCCATTCTGGCATCGAACTTATAAGTATTATGAATGGACTCAGATAGTATTACCTGGATAGTTGTTCTTAGTCAGATTTACAATTGCTAATAGAGGTAAAATAGATTGTTGAAGACAGTGCTCCAAGTCACCAAAAGTTTTCAAAGCATTGCCAGGATCTCAACAAGGTTGAGCAACTCTGATGGCCACCTCACTCTCCAGATATAACCCTGATCGAGGCACTATGGGGTGATATGGAGACAGAATTAGGAGAGACCTTTGGGAGAATTAAGGATATAGAGGTTCTAGTTAGGGCAGTAGAGATGGTTTGGAATTCAATTGGGATAGACCATTTGGATGACTTAGCTTGTAGTATGCCAGAACGCCTTGAAGCAGTTATTGCAGTGGGCAGTATGGCTACACCATACTAGAATAGGAAAATCTTGTGCTTTCCAATCACTTTTTTCCTCACATTAAAATTGAAACCTAATTGGCTGCTCTCCAGTAGCCCATGGCAACAATTGGTCAAATTAGCGTTTTTCCGATCACTTTTGTCCACACCCTCGTACAATCCTATGATACCGGGTCAAACGGGTCCCCTCTTCCCTCCCCTTTCCCCCACCAACCATCTAAAACCTACCCACCCACCCATCCATCATGAAAAGCCCCATACCGATACCTAAGGAACCTAAATTAACCCCCATCCCCCGCAGTAAACCACCGACCCGAAAACCCCTCCTACCCCTGCCTCTGCCAATCCCCCACCGCCCCGCCGGCCTCCCATCCTCAGTGGTGCTGCGCTACGAGTACGATACACAGAGCGGAAAAAAGTGACGAAAGAAAAAAACGTGACAGGGGTATTGAACTGTAATTTGTATGGCTGGCTGACAATGGAGGAGCTCCTCCTGCCTGTTACATGCTCCGCTTGCGGAGAATTTTTCCGAGCGATGGAGGAGTGCCTTGGCAGGTTTCCAGCAGGTACGGGGAGTCTAGACCGGAAAAGGCAAAAATGGGCTTTTCTCTTTTTTCTTGTCTTGGATGACTGGGAAGGCGGGGGAGGGGCTGTACGAGTGGTGGGCGGGTCTGACGATGGCACGGTATGGAAGGGGTTGTTGTTGAGATGGAGGAAAATGCTGTAAATTTAAAGTATGTGTATGGTATGATAATGTTGAAATGGATAAATAGCGTACACGTCAATTTGTGAGTGTTTTTTGTCCGAATCGCGGTGATTGTTATGGTGCCGGGCAAGTACCGGTCGTAGACCAGTCTACTATGGACCACATAGAACTATGCTGATACAATAATAATAATAGGTTAAGCACCTTTTCGTGACCAAACCGCGCAAGCGTTACTCGTGGTCTACGAGTAATAAATATTTCGATCACACGAGCGAGCTATTTGACTGTCCATTTCTTGTTCACCTCCGCCCGCATCATCTACTTGAGTAGTCTAGCTTTAGCGTATTCCCCTATTCTCCCATCCTCTTTATTATCGAACGTTACCGTACCGGTATTAAACAAAGCGCTCGAGCTCTGCCCACCGGAAGCGGAGAGCAATTTTTAGCGGCTCCTATTAGCTACTGGCACAGTACTATCAACGCACTCCCCAACTAGCAGCTGATACAGTGGGGAATGAAATATCGTTGGGAAGACGACCTGCCACTACTGTAGGAGAATAGAACAGAACCCTCATTAAACGGCTTTGGGCAGAAAATGTGAAAACCCCCATCTTCAACTCTCCAGTATCGCCGGGCCATTCAATCCCCGGGGGGAGGGGAGGCCTCCCGTCAGAGGTTTACAATACCAAGTTACTGACTGGTGTGACCAGTACCCCGACTCTCAGACTCACTACCAATGCTGCCTTTTGGAGGTTTCCGGTTATGATGATTGACCCTACCCGAGTGGACTCCTCTGTAGAGTATGCGGAGATGCCAGACCTCCTCCTCCCGGTGATCCCATGTCGCCTTTGCTATTCGGCCCAGACCCATCTCTATTTATTAGGGTTAGACACCGCCGCCCCGAGATCGCCAGGGCCAGAGATTGGGACAGTAATGCCAGATTCACGATGACCCGTTAAATTCATAGCACTTCCCAGATGGGTCACGCTGGAAACCTCCAAAACGGGCACCGGACCGTAGGCACCTGACCAACGAGCGCTCGTTCCTGTACCATCAGGCCTACGGGCAGCGCCCTAGGAGTACTGCCGCTTGGTGTGGACTTCTCAGTCTCACACCGTGAGGCGAGAGACCCTTTCCTCAGGAAATAAAAGGTGTTGCCGAGGTAAAGCAAAGTCTCGGCCAGCGATCAGATATTCGCTTTTTCCCAAATGACGCCCCGACAAGCCCGAGGCGACTTGTGGCAAACGATTTGGGATGATGTCGAGTTGTGCACAAACGTAAGAGCAAGCCCGTTGCCAAGGCATTCGAAGGAATTGACAAATCAGGTAGTATTTCGCAAACCATGTGGGTTATCGCTAAAGGAAGCCGGACCCGAACTATGTTTCCGGATATGTGAAACAGGGCGTCAGTGCTGAGGCGTTGGCACGATTCCGGCACAAACAAATAATGAAGTACAAACGCTGCACGTGTGCAAACCGCGATGTCCACAGAGTATTTGACTTCGAAAAATCGTCCCGTTCCGACGTGATTCCTGGGTCAAATTGGCCTCCATTGATCCCTTTCATTGGATTCTAATATTTAGCTCCGAATAGGCCGGGGTCTTTTTTTTCAGTCCAAACCGGCACTCGGAGATGGCCTGCGGACTTACTCTCAGCCAGGGCCAAGCTCGACGCCTAACCCAACCAGTGCCAAGATTTATGAAAAGCACGGCTCCAACGGATGCAGGGACTAGCCGTTTGTATGTCTCCCCAGCCTCAACCATACCTTATGAGCCGTCGCGCATTATCGGTGATGCTAACTTCCCCATAAGCGGTAGTCCTAGACAGCTGCACGGCCCGGAGTAATTTAGAGATCTGTAACCTGCAATGTATCCTGGCCACCCAATCCCAACACACGCTCTTCTGTGGTCAGAAGTGGCACCTCCAGCGGTAATAAAGCCTCCAGAAGGCCCAGAGCCAATATCACATGGATATACCTACAATAACGAACGATCGTTTTGATACCGTTATGGCCATTGCCATGACGGTACCACAAACACAGCTGACCAACGGCTCCGTCATCCCGTTTGTCGTAGAAACCACTAAGGGTTGTCAATGTTCTACCCACGGATAATGCATCTTATCCTGTCCTAGCTCTTACCAAATGGATGAGGCGAGGGCCGACGCTGAGAGGAAGATTGAGTCGAAATGGGAGACATGAGCGCAGAAGGTTTCACTTTCCGGCAGATGGTTCGACCCTCACCCATCGGGTGGAGTTTGATGCAGGTAGTGAGCGGCCCTCGTTAATGGGTTCACTAGTAACACTCATAAGGATAGCCTTGTGCGAGAGTGAAAGTTCTGAGCAATAATTAGATTGTGGAACATAGGATAAACCTTAGAAAGCCATACCTTCAAAGGCCAACCATGCCAATAGCCACACGACCCATTCGAATATCGACCAGACGTGTTCCGTGTATATGAATGTTTATTCTGCCGTCAATACAAGCACCAACATAGAGAAGAGACGTGACGGTGATGTATAGTAATGCTTCGGTTGAGGATGATGGGATTTCCAAGCGTTGGTGAGGAGGCATCGGATGAACAAATGTCTTGGCCAGGCCGCCGGGCCCTTCATGCTGTACTGTACATGCCAAGACCATGATTGGGTTGTCTCTGTTTCACCCGGTTGGGGATTGTGTCACCGTGAGGGCTGCGACGCGACATGAACGGCCGGGTCCGGTCCGAGCTATACCTTGTGTGGAGGGGCAGAAATCCAAGCAGGGCGTAGGCGAGCAATGCAGCACATTTCGTTGATGTTTCGGAGCGCGAGCTGACTCGCCCGGAGGTTTCTCTGATACCGTATCTTCCAGGGGGGGAGCCCCACGATCAAAAGTGTCGTCGAGATTAGGGACGCCGATCAAGTAATCGATATCTATAGACATTGCGTGTCCGAATGACGCCCTATGACCGATAGGAGTGGCTGGTCGTGAAATGATGCACTTTCTTTAAAATCGAGTGAGATAACGAGATACCGACACATGTATCCAATTAATCAAGAACAGCTGCCGTACTTACCAGAACAAATTGACCTGTAGTCATAAGACCCTCTGATCACGCCGATTAGAACCTGGACGTAGTCAGGGGGGTAACAAAGTGGATATCGCGGTGATAATAAGGTAGGGCAGTAGGATGGTTAGAGGGAAAAGAAGGGAATCTGGCGCAAACTCGCTGTTGCGGGATCTTCGGCGGGAATCCGCAGGGAGCTCGCGTCTGCGGCCCTTCTCCCCTACTGTATCGTCATAGTCGGACCCACACCGGTAAGTTGAGTGCCAACCCCCCCTCCAGTATGACACCTTACCATCCTGCAACCCCTGTTGTCGTGCATCTCCGGCTCTGGATACTACCACTACAGTTACGCGAGCAGTTGTACGAGTAAAGGCGTGTAGCATTCCAATGGATTACCGGTAGGGGATCAAAGGGGTGCGATCGAATGATTGAGTGAATGAATTAGACAAACCTGGAGACTGAATCATTCCTTCCCACAGCCCTGCTTTTAGTCACCAACAGCCGTATGGCATCAGCAGGAATATTTAGCAGCGGACAACTGGGCTAAATCGTTGCATTACTCTTACGAGCGGAACTCGCCTGGGATTGAGCATGGCTAGGAGGATCAAGTTCCGTAGGTAGCGGCGGTGTAGGCCGTGGAACAAATGGCCGACGCTGAGTTCAGTTGTCAGTGATGAGCGATAAAGAGATAAAGTAGGAAGAGCGTGGGATGCAAGTGTATCAAGTTTGTGCGAGAGAAGAGATTGTCTACCTTCCTCTGGCGAAGATGGCATTTTTTACAGAGAGACGAGGCAACAGCAAGGAGTGGGGATCCGTGGGGGGTTTCTATGCTTGAAGGCTCAAGGGAAGGGCTTCAGAGGTACTGAAGTGGGGGGAACAGCATTGGATGAGAGGGAGAGACACGTGGGGGAAAGGGAAAAGGGTTAGAAGCTTAGACATGGTGAGCCCTATTCCATGGCGTAGCAATCGAGCTCGGGAGGGTGAGTAGTAAGGGTCAACGTAGAGGGAGAAAGAAAAGAATTTTTCTTTTCTTCGGCGGTTACAGCCCACATTGGAATTAGGCGCGGGTTCAGCTAGGAGGAAAATTTCGCAATCATCTTCAAGAGAAAAACGGTGGAATTGGGCAGAGTGTATAGCATCACCAAAAACGATATGATCGCCATCATCACCATCATCGTCGTCAACAGGACCAGGAGAAGGAAGAGCCAGCGCAGGGGTCAAAGGGGTTGGAGGAGGAGGAGGAGGGGGAGGAAGGGGAGGAGAAGTAGGGCGTAGTCCAGTAACACTCCAATTGTATGAGTACGTGCAGGGGTGAATGTTTGTTTAACAACCGTACGAGTACTCGAGACTATCAAACCCGTAGACTATCGATAAATTACCGGTACGGTAGTGGGTTGTGCGGACAAGTCCAACGATGGCACCTATCGTACCCAGCATTCCGCGCACAACCAGTTTCGGTACGGTATGGGGGTACTGGTGCGAGTACTCGTGTACCGGTACTCGAGTACAGCTGCTCATACAGTACCGTACCGTACGAGTACTCGAGTAGATGAGTTGAAGGATTGCATCACATAGTCCAAACCCCAAGGTGGGGAAAAGCTGAGACAGGGGAACAACAGCCAGTGCCGGTAGGATACCCACCCCAACCACAACAATAGGGTAACCTACCGTAATGATAGCCAAGGGGCGGGCGCGGTGAATGTGGAGAATCAATCTACTCGTACTCGGGTCAGGGGGTAAATGATGAGATGG